TTGGGGAGGGGGTGGGGGGAGGTAGAAACAGGAAAAAGTGACTTGAAGATTTATTCTTTGTCCCATATTCAGATTTCTATTTGGGGAAGTTTTTAACTGGGCTTGACTTTTGGGATATACAGCAGGTTTTTTTTGCTCCAAAAGTACTCTAAATTTGGTGAAGATTCTGGATTTGTAAGAACAGTCTCTAGAATGATTTTTGGGTGCAGAAGTAGTGGAAAATAGGAAGAGAGTAGGCCAAAGACAGAAGGTGGTACCCAATTCTTTCTGATGTGTTATTAATTTTAATTTTTACGTAAGTACTAAAATTTTTTTAATTATTAAAAAATATACCACAAATGCTTGGGAATTTGAGAGTGGAGCTTGGTCTCTAACGTCAGAGAACTAACTGTTCCTATCAAGTTTTACTGCCTTCCATCTATTTTCTTCTTGCAAGCTCAAGAGTATTTTGTAGAAATGTCATGGTCATGTCTCCAGTTCTCAAGTGTTAGGTGGGTAAGAAGTTACATATTTACTTTTCAAGAAAGAAGTGGTAATGGACCAGGAAGTGTAATGCAGCCTTAAGTTCAGTAAATGAAACTTATTTGAAAAAGTAACCCAAATAAGGAAGCCAAGTACATTTTGAAATTATTTGGTATATAAAACGTTACAGATACAGAATTTCTCTTTAGGGGCCCCAGTGGTGATCTATGATTAAAGGGAATATGCCACCTGTACAAGGCTTCATAACCAGTATATTCTTGCAGTTTACTCTATGGTATCTTTTAAAGCTTATCCTTGTTATTTTTCAAAGGTATTCAGTTTATGAAGTAAACTCAATAGTTTTATAAATAGTATCATGGATGCAATTTTTAAAATACATTTCTGTATTTTTAAATTAGTTTGTTTTATTTATCTCTTGCACCGTGTAAAGTACAATTTATTTCTTAGATAAATTTATTTATTAAGTTTATTTCACTTTATTTTAAAACATCCCAGATATGCTTGGTTCTGAAAGATTTTAAAGTAATTTAATGTTTTTACTTTTAGGAGTATGATTTCTATCTACAACTTTGTATTATTCAAAAATGTAATCTTAGGGTTAATTATAGCATAACTTTCAAACATAATTTGAAATTTAATTTAATTTAAAGCAAGATGTTATAGAATTAGTATTGGAAGGTCTTGGAGTAGAAATCTCATATACAGTTTTTTGACATTTCTAAATTGCATCTGCTTTCATATTTCCAGGGTTGAGAGCCCTGGTGGAATCATACTGCCTGTGTTTGAATTCTGGCTCGGCCTGGTGTGATTGCACAGACTGACTTGTCCTCCCTGAGCCCTCAGTTTCTTTATCTGGAATGTATGGTCAATATTAGTATTTGCTTCTAGGGTTGTTGGGAAGACTGGATGAACTAAACTATGTAAAGTATTTAGCAGAATATGTGGCACATAAGAAGTACTCATGTAATGTAAGTTGTTATTATTAAGAAGAGCACAGTATGTTATGTAAAGAGTAAATAATTTGTAAAAAGAAACAATAGTAACAGGAAAGTAGAATTCCAGAATCACTGCTCAATTTTGCTAGATTTACAAGCTTTTAGGATTCACTGTGTAATCCCAGACCAAGGCTTTGAATGGCATATTGTGGTAAGATTTCATGCAAAAATAATCATTGGTGAAATATGTGTTGCCAGGCAATATTGTTCTAAAAAGTTGCTTCATTTTATAATCAACTAAATTTTTAAGTGGAGTACATTGTAATAGTGCAATAACTATTTTGGGTGCTTGCCCAAATTAATAAAAAAATGTCTTTAAACAATTGAATATTAATCGCTGTGCTGTGAGAATGGAAGTAGAGTATAGATAATAAACTGTTAGTGAACTTGTTTTGACCACCCCCCTTCCTTGTTATTAGCAGCAAGGAGAATTTTGGTTTCAGTTCTTTGTGAAAATAATTATAGCCTCAGTTTTCTTGGTGCTCTAAATTTAGGAAGCTAGTGGTTGCTAGTAAGTTTGACAGCAAGTAGTTATTAATTTTACATATGATCTATCGCAAAATTTTCAACTTGTTTCTTCGGTTTTAATGAAAATATGGTTTCAACTTTGTGGGATTGTATGAGCCATGTACACATCAGTGCTGTGTTCTGGCTTATAACACGCTTGCCTAAAACAACCCTATGGAAGAATTAAAATCATTAAATATATATTTTTGAGGTGTATGTGGCTATTTTTAAAAGGAAACAAAATGTTTTGCTTCTGATGGTTTTCATAATTGGTAAGTGTATTCATATGATCCTTGTGTTTGAGGAAAAGAATTATGCTTAATGTCTGTTTTCTGAATTATAAGGGAAACTACTGCATTATACTTTATTTTCAGAAGGATAAAGCTTTTCATATAACCTAAGGTTATCTCCTTTTTTTTCTTTTGATCTTCAGATTTTGGATGACGAAATTGATGTAGACTTTTATGTAGCTGTTCCAGAAATAATGCCAGAGCTTAATCCATTAAAGAAGAAACTGAGAAAAAGGTTTCCAAAGCTTATTCAAAGTAAGGGAGAATTTTTTAAAAATTATTTTCATATGCTCTCAACAGCTTTCTTCTCAACTTCATTCAGTTAGAAAACAAGTTGCTAATATATATGTAGAATAAATAGTGGTATGTCCTGGTATTTGAGTTTTATGTTACATGAGAACATGGATTATGTATTTTTTTCCTTTGGCGTTAATATTGGTAATTTAATATAATTTGAAAACTTAGTTACTAGTTCTTTAAATTTAGATTATAGTCCAGCTCCAAATTAGTGAAATGTGTTATCTACTGGGTATGTTATCATCATCCTATTTTTTTTTTTTTCCCAGACAAGTCCTTTATTTGACTTTGTTTTATTGGGTTCGGATGGGATCAAGGCTATAGCTGTGGCCATTCCCACAGAAGCAGGCTTAACTGGCTCCAAGGGGATCATACTATTTCATTGACTTTTATACGTTTTTATCAGTGTAATATGTATG